TCACGGCCGTGCTGCCAGCGAGGGTCAGGAGCAGCACATGCAGGGCGTGGGGGGGGGGGGGGGGGGGGAGGTCCACTGGGGGGGTGTCCATCGCACAGGCTCTTAACGCTGTGCTAACCAATCAAAACAGGCCTTCCCCCAGCGCCTGCCGACCGCAGCCTCCAGGAGGTGGGTCCAGACCAGCCTTAACACAGATGGGGAAACTGAGGCACTGAGACAGGGACTTACCCAAGGCCATGGTGTCAACAGAAGAATTCCCAGCCTCCAGCCACTAGACCCCACTCCCCTCCCCTCCCCGAGCTGGGAACTGAACCCAGGAATCCTGGCTCCCAGCCCCCCACTTCTCCTATGCCTGTACATGGGACCTGCTCAGGGGAAGGAGGCACCGGCACCTCTCACCTTTCCAGACCATTACTCTCTCGCTGGTGTTTTAGGCCATTCCCTGCCCTCGGGGTATCAGCGCCCCCCTGCCCGCCCACACCAGCGCCTGATGGCACTGCCAGGGCCCCCCTCAGACGCCCCCGGGCCCAGATGCTCCAGACCCATGAGCCCCCTCCCCCTCCCCCCGTGAGAGCACTGGGCCCTCCCAGCAGCCCCCAGGACTCCCAGGGCTGCGACCCACCCACCCAAAATGACTAATAATGAAGCACGACAACGCTCCCTGCCTTCCACCCCCAACACTTCACAAGTGATAATGGGGGGAGCTCCCCCCAGGAAAACCCACAGGGGGTTCACTCTCTGGTCAGCATGGGGGCAAGACCCCAGGCCCTGCTGCCCCCACCCGGGAAAGAAGGGCCCCTTGGGGTGGGAGGTAGCCCCCAAGCCTCAGGGGGGGCCCTGCTCAGAGAACAGGGCTGCGCTCACTCTTTGGAAGGGCCCTGCCCCCCCACTGGGCTCTCAGCCCCTTCCACTATTGGGGTCTGCAAATAGGACCCCAAAACCAGCCTCCCCCGGCAGCAGGGGGGCAAGGCCTGCTGCCCCCGTCGGGATGCTGGCCCCCAACTGGGCTCCCCGCTCTCCCTGAGGCACACCGCCCACCCCACTCTGGATGGGGCCCTGGGGCAAGGGACGTCTGGGTCCAGCTCCTCCGCTGAGTCTGAGACACCCCCACTCCCAGGGCTCCCCAGGCTCAGTGACACAGGTGGGTCGGCTGCCCCCCCCCCAAGCAACAGGCCCCACTGCAGCCCGTGCACCTCCAGATGGCCTGCACACAAACCCCCACCCTGCCGGGGGATCAGGCCTGCTCCCCCCATGAACCCCACTGAGCGTGCCCCCCAGGGTACGGGCCCCATTGCATGCCCCACACCCCACCCCCAGGGGGCTGGCCTGCTCCCCCCATGCACCCCACTGAGCGTGCCCCCCCGAGTACGGGCCCCATTGCATGCCCCACACCCCGCCCCCAGGGGGCTGGCCTGCTCCCTCCCATGTATCTCACTGAGCGTGCCCCCCCGGAGTACGGGCCCCATTGCATGCCCCCCCCAAGGGGCTGGCCTGCTCCCCCATACACTCCACTGAGCGTGCGCCCCCGGAGTACGGCCCC